GATGATGATAATAATAATAATAATATTTAAAATTTTAAATAAATTACTTTATTTTTAAAAACACTTATTGAACATGTCTGAAAAGAAGTGCAATGTTAGAATAGAATCACGAAAAAATGTTAGTTTGTTAACTTGTATTTGTAGGCTTGAATGAAATCCGGAACCGTACTCATTATCATTAAGCAATGATACAGAATGTGTTTAAATGACAATTTTGTTTCTATTGTATTGATGAATAAGAATCTTTCGTGCAGTTCAAATTACTAAAATAAGAAGGCGACCTCTTGTTTTCTATAAGTAAACAGTTTTTGCGTAATGGTGAAAGTAAAGAGTGTGTTCGATAAAAGAATGAGTTTATTTTTTCAGTTTGACCAATTATTATTGCTTTTTACTGATTTGAAACCGAATGAACTCTTATATCACTAAGTGCCATTCGATGAAGTAGTTTCGGAAAATTTAGACCGGGCCGTGTATTAAATGCTCCCAAATAAACTGCATTAAATGCACTAATGATTTGGCTAAATGTAATTAATAAGTAGTTTATTTATTTTTAAGTGAAACTATCTTGAGATAATGAGGTTATTTATTTATATATCTGAACTTCATGTATTACATCAAAAATGTTTATACAAATTCTACTTGAAATTATCGGCATGTTTGCTACTTTGATGACACACCAAAACTCTATTTTTGATATTTAAACTTGTCACGGTAATGGTATGTTATTTTGTGACGGACGGAGAATCCGACTGCCAAATATCATCAATTATCGGATTTAAATTTACATTTATCCTGATAATTGATAATATTAATGTTCTGATAATGGATATTTAATTTTATTTTATATGCTTCTAGGCACGTCAATTTGCATGTCAATATTCTGAATCAATCATCGGTTGACAATTTTCAAGACTTTCAAATTTACAAATTACCGTACTTATTCTAATAAAGAGTGTGCTGTATGTGACTTACTTCAGCTCACGCCTGCAATTTTTATTATAATAAATACAATACGTATCATTAAATCGAGTGTATAAAAGGGTTACTAAAAAGTAAACTTGGCTTATCACATCTTCATTCAAAGGGCTCAAAAAACATGTTTTTAATATCTGTAGTGTTCAGTGGATCTTGGCCGTTCATAATGTTCTTTGTTACTTGATTGCTTCTTGTTCTCTTTTTAAGATTGTTGGATAGTTCCGCACGAATGAAAATATATACACTTGAAGAATGATTAAGATATTAGTAGAATGTAAGTTGACTCATCACATGTATCACCATGGTAATTCTGACAGAAATTGACAGCAATAATAAAATTCTAGCTGTGACAGATGCCCATAAGTAAGATTTATCACGAGTATGTTTTTTTATGGAAGTGAAAAGTCTGTTTCTAAAAAGTAAATAAAATAAAGCAACATTTTGTATAATAATAATAATAATACTTTAAAAAAATACATTTAGGATCTTTAATTTTCTCAATTTCAATAAATATGAAAAATTTACCATGTTTTCAACTATTCTGGCTTTTTTAATTAAAATTCCAACATGTGTACCACTCCAGGTGGGAGAAGTAACACACAAATAGATCACAAGGGCTATACAGTAGAAAAGGTTACAACAGTGATTGCAGAAATTTTAGATTGTTGCTCCTGTAAGGACAAGATAAATGTTAATACCAGAGGCTTTATGAGAAACTATGCTTTCTCTTCCATACTTCAGTTGCATAGTAGTAAAAAGATTGGTATAGTGGATCTTGAACTAGAATATTTAGTGAGCAAAGTCATTCAAAATGATTAAAAAAAAAAATAGTCTCTAGCTCAACTTAAGATGTTCATATACTGTGATGAATGGTTTCAATTTTTCATTTGTACATTGTACAGTACATGAGTAGAAGACACTACTGATCAGACTAAGGTCACCGGTAACTCTTTAAGTTACCATGTCTTGTTAGAAATTGTATGAGCATGCAAGAGAAATTTTTTTGAGTGATCAAAAATTTGGGTTGCCGGACGTTCCGGATTTTTCCGACCGCCGTCTAGCAACGGGAGGACTTTATTCTAAAAACCATTCCTACAATGAGTAGCTTTTTCTTTTTCCACATTTTAAATGTATTTCTGTCACCGGCAAAGTAAAAATACATGTCCTGCACGTCCCGGAATCGAAGTGCCCCAGTATTTTTTGGGAAGAACTCATTTTGTCCCCGATTTTGTCCTCGAGTACCTGCAAACGTATCAAAAATACAAACAATGTATCAAAAATATTCTGGATTGTGGGAAAGAAACATTTGGTAACAGCTTTTTTGGTGGTGTTAAGAGAAAATTACTGATGATGGTATACAGAAGTCTGTTAAAGTAACACTGTGCAGAAATAGAGAAAATCGTCATCAATTTCAGTCTGGATAGCACAAAATTAAGTGAAATATATCAATAAAGAGAATAACAATATTAAAATACATTGTTCCTGCTCCAACATATGGAGTCTGATTAATTCATATTAATATCAAAATGGATAAAAAGTAAGTTCTTTTTAAACTTTTAAAGTTTAAAAAAAACTTTAATGTAATCTTTGAAGAGGTGTAATATTTATTGTAATTGGGCTGCAATTTGAAAGAATTGTAGATCTATAAATTCCCACTGTCAGTCAATCTGTGAATCCATCCTTCCTTAATCTTGAGAATGGTGTTAGATAAATGAAAGTAGAGACCAGATGTAGAAAAATTAGAGGCAGGAGGTCCCGATTAACTATATATGAACTTTGGTATTGACCGAATATATGTATATACGTTACTTCAATTCAAAAATTTTTCCTGGAACAGAGTTAGATAGATGACTGGCACGATTCTACTGTTATCAGGAAAAGTATGATGTACAGGGACAAGACTCTAATAAAATGAAGAGAGCATATACTGTATTTTAAACTAAATAAATTAAAAATAACACGATTAGAAATTGCAGCCAACAACACAATAAATAATTGCTCATTTATATATTAATTTTAAAAAAAATTTTAACTTAAATAATTTATAATAAAAAATAAATAATTAAAACTGTTAAAATTCATTTTAAAAAAGTCAAAAATGTATTATTTTAAGCGCATTGCATAAATTTACATATTATTTTGAGAAATTCTGTACTAGAAAATTTCATCAATCATTTCTCCCGGAAAAGACGCTTTTCGGCAATACATCAGAAACAACGAGGACGAGAAGGCACTTAATCATATTTTAATAATAATTATTTTTCTATTTTTTAAATTGTTATTGTTTAATTAATTTGGGTAGATAGATAAATTTTGCAATTCTGCTAACTATAAATAACATTTTGTAACTTTGAAAATGTGATTAATTTCATAGAAAATTAACATAGATGTTAATTTAATTGATAATTTTAATGTTAACATGTACGTAATAATTTTAATTGAAATTTATCAGATTCTACATTTGAAGGTTAAATTTATGTTAAATTAATGATTTTGGTAAAGCTTTATAACAATAATTACTGTTAATTGGAAATTCCGAAAGATTTTTCAATTTTAAATTACCTTTTTTTAAGGTCATTTAAGAATTAAATTTTATTTCCTTAAATAAAAATAATAATATTTATTAATTTAAGGATTAATAATTAATAAAAATAAAAATAAAATTTATCCAAACAATTAAATTTTTTTGATTTAATGAAATAAATATATAATTTATTTAAAAGAACAATATAAAGGTATTAAATAAATATGACTTTATAAATTTAAAATAACAATGTTGAAACAATTTATATA